CAAGAAAGTTTGATGAAGAATCGCTCCAAAAATCGCCCAAGAGCTGTTGGAGAAGAGAGAGTTTGAGAAATGGGATAAAATCCCGTTTCTGTTCTATTTTGGGTCTTAAATCACTGGGCAGAAATTTGACCTTCGTGTTCGCGACACCCCGGTCGCGTTCGCGATGAAGGAAAACGGGCAGGCAACGCGTTCCACTGCGAACACGAAGAGGAAAATCTGGAGGCTTCACAATTGGCCTACGCGAACGCGTGGTGCCTTACGCGAATGCGTAGAAGAGGCAGACCAGGCTCCACGAAGGCGGGAGCCTTCACGCGAATGCGTAGAGGAAATGGCTGGGGTCCGGGATTTGTTGTACGCGAACGCGAGGAGTGGCTCGCGAACGCGAAGAAGGGGGAGGAGAAGCCTTCGCGAACGCGACCAGAGGGACGCGAACGCGAAGAAGGAATACCTGCTGCAGATTTTCTGCAATTTTTCTAAGTCCAAAACCACCCCGATACCTATCCGAAACTCACCCGAGCCCTCGGGGCTCCAAACCAAATATGCACACTGACTCAAAAACATCATACGAACTTGCTCGAGCGATTAAATCGCCAAAATAACATCAAAATCAATGAATTGAGCCTTAAAATCCAAGAAATCTTTCAAATTTCATAAACTTCCAAATTTTCCAATTTAAGGCCGAAACACGTCAAACGACGTCCGTTTTCAACCAAACTTTACAGGAAGCGCTTAAACAACATATATGACCTGTACCGGGCGTCGGAACCAAAATACGAGCCCGATACCATTACTTTTTGATCAAATTTCATTTTCATTTTCCTTGAACATTTTCAGAAAATAATTTCACGGAAAAATTTATTTCTCGGGCCTGGGACCTCGGAATTCGATTCCGGGCATACGCCCAAGTCCCATATTTTTCTACGGACCTTCCGAGACCGTCAAATCACGAGTCCGGCTCCGTTTACCCAAAATGTTGACCAAAGTCAACTTTAATCATATTAATATCAAAATTCATCAAATTTTTCACATAATTCATATATTTCAACATAAAAACTTTTCGGCTATGCGCCCGGACTGCGCACGCAAATCGAGGCAACTAAAAGTGAGGTTTTTAAGGCCTTGGAAGCACGGAATGACTAAAAAAACAAGTGATGACCCTTTGGGTCGTCACAAATTAGGTAGTTGCTTTACAAAATAAAATAATTTTAGTAGTTACATACAAAAAAAATAAAAGATACTACCTATTAAAAGGTTTAGACAGAAATTTAGTTACACAAAACTACTTTTATTAGCTTAATTTTAACTTATTAATAATATTCAAAATTCAATGATAAAAAAATAAAAAATCTACACAACATAGCAGTAGCAAAAACAGAGAAATCAAATAAAGAAAAAAGGAAAACAAGGTAAACATAGAAGTGAGATAAGCAATATAAGCTTTTGCCCCAGAGCTTCAGCCATAGAAGATTTTGTCACCGGAAAAGTCGAAACATTCAACTTTGAACACAACCAAACTGGGCAATAAATACGGACTCAAATACCCAAGATTTACCATTCATATTTATAGAGATAGATCAAAAAATAAACAGAGAAAAAAAAATCAATAAACCCACAAAATATCACAAAATTTTAGGAAATAGAAAGAGAAACTAACCCAATTTGGTGAGCAAGTAGAATGAGAAACAGGCCTAGAACATGGGTTCTTCCACGGAAATGAAAATCTTGTAAGAAATCGTTGTTAACATCTTGAATTTTGGCAATACTTTGGGTTACTTTTGAGGGGAAAATAAGTGAAAGGGAGGACTTTTTTGATGAGTCTCTGAACAAAAAAGAATGAAGTAACTTTTTTTGATGAGTCTTTTCCTTTTTTTAATCAAATAAATGTATTAGTGGAGACTAAGAATCCGTTTGGATTGGCTTGTTTTAAGTGTTTTTAAGCCAAAATAGCTTTTAAGCCATTTTGTAGTGTTTGGATAAAGTAAAAAAGTGCTTTTAAGCACTTGTTTTTAAGCTAAAATGACAAAAACAAGCCAAAAGCCAAAAGTTAGAATTCCTAACTTATGGCTTAAAAGCTATTTTGGCTTAAAAGTCACTGAAAACAAGCCCATCCAAACGGGCTCTAAGTTGCCACAATAGACCTTTTAGAGGCGACAAAATATAAATCGCCACAATTACTTTTGGAGCCAAATTTTTTTTAAGCGGGAATTTTTTTAAGCCTTTTTGTGGCACATATTTGTTGCGACCTATGTAAAGTCGCTACTAAAAACGTATATTTTGTAGCGACAAATAAGTTGCCACAAAATGTATATATTTTCTGTGGCGACTTTGGAGGGTCGCCTCCAAATCCCTTATTTTTGTGGCAACAAATTTAGTCGCCACTGAATACTTCCACTGAAAATCTCATTTCTTGTAGTGAGGGCAGCCTCATGGCAGCATTGTCTCTGATACCTGTATCGGAGGAAATCAAGTAAAAATAAGAAAGACACATTTCACAGAAAGGTATCAAACATGATAGAACGGCTTACCGTGGTTCGGCCTTTGGCCAAATAACCCCAACAATGCTCAGAGTACGAAAAGGTCAAGGCCAGCTTCCGAACCCAACCTTCAAGGTCCGGGATTGCATCGGGCACCCAAGAAACGTTACATCATAGGAAAGGATGTTAATACGGAAAGACTAAAGAGACAAAACGGTAGACGGAAGTAATAGGCAAGTTCGTGCTTACGCTTCATGTTTCACTCTTCAGGAAACGACATCTTCTCGGCCAGAATTATGTCGGAATTCCTCACTCGGACAAACTGGCCCATCCATCCTCGGTCCTTGTCCTTGTCTATGCTCGAGAACAGCACCTTGGTGGCCCGGCATTGAAGCCTTATCTACCCTCCCCGATAAAGACGGGGGCTGTACATTCTAATAAGGTGGTCGAGGGTAAAAGGCATCCTCTCGACTTGGCTCACGAAGAATCGGAGCAAAATAAAAATGCGCCAGAAGGAAGGATGGATCTAGCCCAAGGTTATTTGGTATTGGCGGCAGAAATCAAGGATAACGGGGTCAATGGGACCCAACGTAAAAGGGTAAGTGTAAACACTCAAGAACCCTTTCACGTGAGTGGTGATGTCCTCTTCAGGGGTCGGGATCACCACATCTTTGCCTTCCCAACGGTAATCCTTTTTTACCTGCTTCAAATCGCCCTCAGTTATCGAGCATATATATCTCGACATCGGCTCACATCGGTCAGGGATAGACGAGGGTTTCTCTATCTTGAAATCAGAGGTAAGATCGTACGACCCCGGAACGCACTCCTCGATGCGGGGCTCCATCGGCGTTTTATCACCGGATGGCCGCTATGAAGAGGCTTTTTCCTTTTTGGAATGGTTTTAGATGTTTTTGCCATGTTTGTATGAGTTCAGGAAAAAGAAGAAGATGAAGTTTGTTGAGAGGATTGGCGAACGGAATGTAGATAGTTTGCGGAATTGAGGTACTTGAAGGAAGTAGGAGAGCTTTGAAGATTAAGAAAATTTTTGAAAGTAAAGTATGAAAAAATTATGAGGAGGGTCCATTTATAATGTTAGCCATGACGGTTCAAAGGTATTAGTGACCGACCATCAACCGATGCTAATTAATGATCTTGAGAACTGTGCAGACACGACGCTTCAGTTGCCTCCATCGCTTACGTCACGAGGGTGACATCATACTTGGTCGAGGTGCAAAATCGAAGGCTCAGTTTGTTTCTTCTATTGCACTCTAAGAAACGAGGGGACTATCTGTATACGGTCGAAATCGGGCCTACCCGATTTTGTTATTTGATCGAAACAATGGAGCTGCTTCGGGGGTAATCTCGTAATGAATCAGGTCCGAGCTCGAAGACGAGGCATCGAGTCGAAAGATCGAAGTGTTCGTCGAGACCGAGGCCAAGAGCAATCGAGACTAAGTATGACTGACTTCGAGTGAAATGCAATAACGGAAAGGCGAAATATCCGTAACTGGTCGGAGATCACGGAAATCTAGGAGCAGATCAAATCAAGGACGGTTATTTGTATCAATCATGGGATTTACTTCCATAATTAGAATTGTACCACAGTTAAGATTCCTCTAGTATATAAAGAGGGGTCCCCATCATTTGTAATGACCTTACACATTGATACTGATCAAAGCAATATAATATTTCTTTATTGTTTATCAGTTTATTGTTCTTTAACTATTCTTGCTTTACTATTCTCGAGGGTTCATCAGCTCGATGACACTGCCCAAACATCGGTTTATTTCATATTCTTGTCAATTCCATCACTTATCTCTAAATTAATCAATTGATATTAAGTGAAATCACGTATCCTTAAAATTACATTACAAGTTTAATTGTTACTCGATTTTTAGAGTAAACATAGAGAATGAAACATTTTAAAGAGGCGGCTAGCTAAATGAGAATAAAAACGAAAATTATGAAAAATACATGTGGGATCATATTGGGAACAAAATAAAGGAACAAACGGTACAAATTGATGTTCCAACAGAATCAAAGGAGAGATTTTCCTATCGTAGTTCACTCGGGCATGAATCTTGTCGTCAAAGCTTCTGAATTCGATCTGGCGCTTAATTACACATTTCACTTTTCACGTCATAATACTTGGCCGTCTTTAATCCTTAAATACCTTTGTTTACTATAAAAAGCTTAAAATCGTAACTATAATGAAGCACATTGTCCACCTAAGACATAGAGATATGTGCGATTTCATTAATACTAAATTAAGAAGTTTAAAGTTTATATTTATATATATTGGACCTTCCCCTTGTTTATTAGTATTAGCCAAGTTGCTCGAGGACTTCTACTGGGAATGAAAGTTCACTATTTTAGGATCCCTAGTAAAGCCAATCTAAGGATGACCGCTTATCTGAGTAAGAGGACGATGACTCCTATTATTGGTGAGCGGTCTCATTTTTTTCATTTTTGGAGTGACTAGAAAAGAAAGTATTTTATATAAATAAATTTGAGATGACTGGAGAAATAACTAGTTAAAACTATTACATCGTAGAGAATTCAAGAAACTTAGAGCATAATGGTTTCCCAAAAGGGCCAAACTATGAAAAGAACTTGCGAAATATTCCTAATATTTATTTGGAGGCATTTTAAAAAATATGGCGGAGCCGGTACGTAGAAGGACCAAAAAACAAAATGATTAATTAATAGTCAATGTCCGTGCTTTTGATGATAAGAGGGATTGCTCAGATGGTCAGCACCCCCCACCTACAACACCAGGGTCGTAGGTTCGAGTTTCACATTTTGCTCACAAAAGCTATGCCGGATTTTGGTCTCCCTCATCTGGTACATCAACAACCTACAATCATGAACAAGTATAATCAGCAAAAAAGTTGATGAAATATCGACGGACTTCAATAATTAGCATTTAACTTGTTGTCAACTTCTCCTGTACATACTCGCCCCAAAATTCTAAAAAACTTTGGGAACAATACATATAAAAAGGGAACAAATAGAAAGGGAAAAGGGATGGTGAAGAAATAACAATAGAACTGAGTATTTGAAAAATGCTTGGCAAATGCTACTGACAATAATACTATCAAGGAGAAATAACTTATCAATGCAAGAAAAAAACATTACAACATTACATACGTCATCCCCTCTAGGAGGCACACAACAGGGAGAGTCATCCGTCATTTAACAAATAATGGAATATAATTAATAAATTGCATGTACGAATGATCTGAAATATAAAGCAAATGGAATTTAATAAATTGCATGTACGAATGATCTAAAATATGAACAAACAAAATTCTTTTATCTCTAAAAAATTGTGGCAGTTAGAACTACAAGTCCTTTTTTTCTGAGACTCTTATAGCCCGTTTGGCCAAGCTGCAAAAATCAGCTTATTTTGATAAGTGCTTTTTTTCAAAAGTGTTTTTCTCAAAAGTACTTTTGGTGAGAAACAGTTTGTGTTTGGCTAATTAGTTTGAAAAGCACTTCTGAGCAGCAATTAGTGTTTGGCCAAGCTTTAAAAAACTGCTTCTAAGTGTATTTTTCTCAAAAGTGCTTCTCAAAAAAGTGCGTTTGGAGAGAAGCTACTTTTTTCTGCTTCTCCAAAACTGCTTCTGCTTCTCCTCAAAAGCACTTTTTTTCCTTCCAGAAGCTTGGCCAAACACCTCAATTTTTGGCCAAAAATGCTTTTGGCAAAAAAAAAAAAAGCACTTTTGGCAAAAAATAAGCTTGGCCAAACAGGCTATTAGACACCTCTATAGGATTTTGCTTTATCACTTCCTGGTTTTAATTTCTAGAAAAAGATAATGAATAAATAAAATGTGATGTGACATAAAACATGCTAGCTAGTTGATCTCCACTTGTTTATCACTAAATCATACTCCGTAGTAGTTAATAATAAATTTATGCTTTTTTTGAGGGAATTTTTAAATATTATGCTACATTATGAACCTAATTACCATTCTCATTTTAATTATATATCATGTACTATTAATTATCAGTTGCACACAAAGTATTGTGTTAGACTCTAATCTTTCTCATTTTCTCTCCTCTCCCTTTCTATCTTTCTCACTAAGCACACTTCTAAAAGAATAATAAGGGGATGATCTCAAGGTATGCGAATAATACAAAAATGGTTTTAACAAAACTCTTATTCTAGAAAATTTCAAATATGAACAAGATTAGTTCAATTACCTCGTGAGTTTGAGTCCCCAAGATTTCTCTTTCCACGACCATTTAATAATTACGAAATTATCGCCTCTTCTTTATACACGTAAAAATGCTGTTACCTTTGAAAATGATTATAGAATATATTTTTTTATTTATTGCAATGCGTGGTTTTGTAGTATTTTTAAGCATTACTAAAAATTAAAGCAGTGTTTGAAAATGATTATAAAGCTGTAAAATCTATCAACATCTATTTAAAAGTTTCAAAGCATTACATTCAAAAATCAAGTTTGGTGAAATTATTATTGTTTGAATTGAGTGTTGTTGCAAATGGCGGAACATATCCTTTGAGATTAATACCTCAATTTTGAGGAAGTTTGATGAAGCTTCGGGTTAGTTTTAGTTGGAAGTTCAGATTGATACTCGAAGAGTAAGCATACAAAATATATACAACTAAAACATTTGTATATAAGTCATATACCAGTTGTATATATGTAAGTTGTATGTGTTCGATCGGATCTATTATGTACAACATAAAATTGTATCCAAGTTGTAAGTAAATTGTAGCGTTTGACCGTACTCTGCACAACAAAAACTTGTTACAAGTTATATATAAATTGTAGCTTTTGACCGGATATGTATATATTTTATAAAAAAAACTCTAGTGACTTTTTGTAAATAAATAAAACAGCTAAACAGGGTAAACATTATCCTAATTTTATAGTTATATTCGAAGTCCGTATATTTAACGAAAAAATAAACATGTCCAATGCCAAAAAAATGAAAAAGCAGATGTTGTATGTAAAAGTTGTCAAATTTTCAACCAAATCATCTACTGCCATTGATCATAAGAACATAAAGAAATTATCAAAGTGACAATTGGATGAGTTTGGTGCTAATCAACAATTACATGTTTGTACGGGCGGAAACAATCTATCAGTTGAGATAACAAAATTTAAACTTTAGTATATATCTCGATTTTGAATTTAAAAAAATGAAAATATCACTCCTACTAACTTAGTTGAGTCTTTATACTTTCTAGACGTATATACTCTACAAAACAAAATACGGCTTTAGTTAGCACTATAGCACCAACTATTGGTTTACGAGAATCAGAGGCGGATCCAGGATTTTAAGTTTATGGGTTCCTGTCGCAATCTCAAATTAATATACAATAATAATTGGGTTCACAAATAGATATTTAATAAAAAATTTAACAAAAATACAAGATCTACGCAAAAATTATTGGGTTCCTCTGAATTCAAAATAAGGACAAGGGGAACACAGTTTGCTACTCAATCACTAACAATTAAGCTCATCTAAAATTGGAAATGAAAATATAAAACTAACCTTAAGGAATCATAGGTCGAAACTTCTTACAATCCAAGAAAGATTTCTGATTCCCACCATGACAAATATATAGCGTATTCGGACATATATATAAACAATTATCCACTAAGCTAATATTAACAGAACCCGGTTTTAGGCCCAAAAGAGGCCCAGGAATAGGCCCAAACAAGTAATTCCCGCCCAACAACAATCTCTCAAACGACGACGTATTGTTCCTCGGGACAACAACTTTGACTGCATACTGTTTCGGTATCATGCCGGAAAAATTGTTATGTTCCAAATTCAGAGCCGACAACTTCGGCATTGACGCCATGAAAGCCGGCAAGAAGCCATGCAAATTATTATAACTCAGATCAATAGCTATAAGCTTATTATTTCGATGCCTTAAATCTTCTGGCATTTGCAATAACGTGAAATTGTTGTAAGAAAGTGTAAGTTGTTGAAGAGATGAGTGGTAAAATAACACCGACGGTATAATCCCAGATAATAAATTATGACTCAGATCTAAAACTTGTAGAAACTTTAACTCTCCTACATTTAACGGGAACTCGCCGTTTAAATAATTGTTACGTAGTGAGAGTTCAATAATGGACTTGGAGAAACGTGACGTTAAGAAGTTTCCTGTGATTCTGTTATCACTTAAGTCTAAGAAGAAAAGGTTTCTGAGCTGATAGAGAACAGGTAAATCTCCAGTAATATTGTTATGTTGAAGCTCAAGCCGGTTTAAATTGACTAAGCCGTTGAAACTTCGTGGGATTGAACCGGTGAGATTATTATTGTTATCAAGAAAAAGTTCTTCAAGACGTAAAAGAGAACCAATGGAAGAAGGGATTTTACCTGTGAATGAGTTTTTTGAAAGACTGAGTCGACGTAAACGAGTTAGGTTTGAGAGTGAATGTGGGATTAAACCGGAGAGTGAGTTATAGGACATATCTAAAACTTCGAGATGAGAGAGGTCGGTTATATATAATGAACCGGAGTAACCGGCTTGGTCTAAGCTGATTTCGGTGACTCGGTAAAAACCGGAGACGATGAGATCACATCGGAAACCGCAAGTGAAGCGGTCGGAGAAAATATTGTCGCATGGGTCTATGGAGAAGTTCCATGAGTAGGCATGAACCGGAGGAAATGGAATTTGGGTTTATTCCATTTTTGAGATGTTGAAGTCCTTGTATATCAGTAGGATGTGTTTTGCACTGTGCTAATAATACAAAAAAACATGAAAAATAATGCTAGAAAAAGATGAAGAAAAAACTGCACTTTCATCTTTTAGTTTGGGGCTTATGGCTCTTTCTGTGTAGGATTTGGGAGTTTTTGATCTTTTTGCTTCTTGGTATAGTACATAAACTAGAAGTGAATGTGGACAGAGGTAACATGAGAAATTAATTCATATATAGAAGTGAATGAATTATTTATTTAATCTATATAAACGATACCAATTAATTGAAAATATATCAATGAAGGACATCTAGTATCTTTATTTTTATCTTTTATTTTATATAATGTTGATCTGTGATGAGCTTTAATTGAACCAAGTGATATGTGAAGATTTATATAGCTAACTCAACTTGATCTCCCGCTTTGAAGTGCGATTGTTGTTAATGAATTATTTAATATGCAGAGTGCATTAATTAGCAATTAATATAACTGACTAAAGATAAAAACAATGAATATGAATCTTCTTTTTTGGGATCTAGGTTAGCTGCATGATCACATGTGGGTGCTGACTATTGTGTTTTCCATACAGAATCAGACTTCCATTTTTTTAATAATAAAGAAGATTTTCTGAAGATGATTCTACTTTTTAAGTCCATATAGGATTAAGAGAACATTTTCATAATCATCAATATCAGCTTAGCTCTACTGCTCCAGTATAGCTAGATGCACCTAAAGATGTTCCAAAAGCAGTTGGGAAAATACTTAGGATACGACCCATTAAAATTCCTAAAGTCTATACATGCAAATAACTTTATCTATCATTTCATAGTAACAGAAAAAGTTATGAATATGGCCGGCTATTTGTGTAAAGATCCCTCTAATTAAAATTTGCAGTTGAGGGATGGTGGTGGGGAAAGGTATAAACAAATAAACAAATAAAAGCGAAAAGTAAGCAGGATAGCATATGTTATAGTCCCCAGCTATTGCAATAGAAAATAATTAGCACCTTCTGAGTCATCAAAAAAGCTTTGTTATTTCTCCTTTGGTTTCTCATCAAGTTGTCTATATACTGTTGTATTCGATTTTGATTCATCTCAAACGTTAATACAATTTCTCCGACCTGCAATTTCCTCAATCAGAGTAGAAAGATGGACATCAGACATACCATTGAGCAGTAATAAAAACAAAATGTTCGGACCTATAGTGGCAATTTATCTAAAGTAAAGTGGTGGTTCCAGCTAGCTCTTTTTTTTTTTTTTTTGATGACCGAGAAATCCGTCTGGGGCCTATCCTTCGGACCAACCGCAACCTTCGAAACTCGGTGGATAATGGGCCCGCCCTTCTACGCTTCTCCACTTAAATACCAGGCTTTGCCTTGCATGGTGTGGGGGCTTGAACCTGTGACCTAAGACACAAATCCACCACCCGTTGCCACTTGAGCTAGGCTCTGGGGGCAATTCCAGCTAGCTCATTAGACAAGCTAAAACGGACTAAATTAGATTCCCAGGAATTTTATTTAACTTGCATGGAGCTTGCTTCAACGAGCTTGCATGAATGGATTGCCAAAACACAGATTCTGGAGAAAAGGGAGGAAGTTATAAAAGTATAGTCTATCAGTGAGAAACCGATCTGCAATGTAAGCAGCAGGATATAAAATCCCCTGAGAACTTTTCCTTTTCTGACTGGTGGTGTCCAGCCACCTCACTCGCACCTCGACTATTCCACCGGAAAGGCTAGAACAGGCAAGCACAAGTGTTGGCTAACCCATGAGTTCTTGTGGGATTAAATGAGTATGGGCAAGGAAAGGGTCTACGACTATTATTCCTGTCCCTCGGCGACAAGTGTCGGATAATCGCCTTGGCTTGGCTTTAAATATTCCTCAATAAACTCACCACCCTAAGAGTCCCAAATGGAAATAATTCCTAAGTAGTACATGTTACAGTTGATAAACTAATGTTAAGAACAAGTATCAATCAAATCCGCCTCAGTTCCAAATTAGTTTGGTCAGCTATATGATTTGAAAATTTTGTTTTACCCATCGAGTAATGGGAAGAATATAGAATATGCTCCTATAAATGCAAAACAAGGCAAGAGCTCCGATCTAAGGTTAATGGTGACTTTTCTTTTAACAAAAAGGTCTTAAGGTTTTAGCTGACTTTTTTTTTTTTTTATTTGCACCGGGTGTCCGATTCTCTACGAGCCCCGACTAATCCCGGGGGTGCACAGGCCCTCGGCAAGGAGTTTCCCGCAAGTGCACCACGGTTAATTCAGGTTTTACCCAGTCCGATGGCCCTCAGAAATTGTTTGCACCCAGTGGATTTCGAACTTGAGACCTTGAAAGGGAGCAAACCCCAAGGCTCAAGTCAATTACCACCAAGCCAACCCCTGATGACTTAACTGCCATCAACATCTTAGGTTACGAGTTTGGGTTGGGTTTTTTATATTATTTTTTTGGGAGGGGGGAGGGGGGTGTGGAAGGCGGCATAATTGAATTACCAAATAAAATTTTCCAGTCAGGATACTAAATACTTGTGCAGAATAAGAACTATACCGCAATTAAGGAACCAGAGTTGAGGTTTAGCTCTGTTTAGGAAGAACTTCTTTGACACTCACATGAATTGAATATTTACCAACGCTCTGCAAGTAGAACAGTCCACATACGTCCATCTTATAGTTGCCTAAATCAAGAAAAGTAATAAATAAATGTGTGAGTATTATGGACAACTTTGCAGTGCACTGGTAAGTATTTAGGCATGTAAATCAATCTCTAAGATGTTGAACATATGATTGAAATTTCATTTGAACAACCTAAATACACAACTAATAAATATAACCTTCAAACTTTCAAGCAGCAACAACACAAGCAAGCAGCAGAAAGAATGAGAATGCACGAGCAACTTAAAGTAACTCAATATACTAAACAAATAAGGGAAAATAAGGATTAATTATGATGTACCGTCATATATGTTTCCTTTCTATGACGAATGGAGATAAATTATGGAATCAAATGAAAATTAAATGGGAACATTGACCAATGCCAGTCAATTTCTAAGCCGATATTACCTGCTGCTGCGAAATTTTAGTATCAAGACCCTCTCTGCCCAAGTCAATGTCAACTTTAATATCTTCGGTCGCTGGTCGCTCTTCCCAGTAAGACCTGAAGCCATAAGTAAAATTTTTGAATCCTTATGAACGAAAAGAATGCAACATTATTTGGAAGATTGATTGAAACCACTCATTTAGTACTGTCAGTGATGGAATCAACACTTGTAATCTTCAGCAATCCAGTTATCTAGACTTCCTGTTCCGTTCCCTAGCCATCATAATATGTTTATGTGTTACATCAGTCAAACTGTATGAAATCTTGTTTTGCATGTGCATCTTGCAAAAGAAATATAATATGATGCTCACTAGTCCCTTCCATTTCTTCGGTTTTGTTGCTGTACAGTTACGCCCAAAAGTTCTGCACACCTAATTAATAATTTGCAATCGTACACTGCTGGAATTAGAAATATCAATCACAACCCTGTACAATGTAGCATTTCTAGTCCAGATAAACACAATGTTCTTTATGCAGTCAAAAATTTCAGTCCACTATGATAAGTTATTTACTTCCAAAACTGCAAAAGCCAGATATGTGAAGCATTTTATGACAGTATCCCATAATTTGGTAAGAATAGATAAGTTTTCCATACTTCAGGTTTTCACAAATACTTTGAGTGACCGGTCATGTATAACAGGTAATGCTCCTTGAACAGCAAGAGCTATTTGTGTACAAGCAACAGCTGCCTCCTTCATCCTGATAATTGTCCTCTTACACTCTTCAAACTGCTAATTCATGACTGCAATAAAAGAATGACACCAACCAAAGAAAGAAAAAGAAAATTCTCAGTAAGAGAGTATGCACCAATAGAGGGAGGCAACTAGCTCCAAAGGAAGCTCTTAACAAGAACTAAAAAGGGACAGAAAATGATGTGAAGAAGTTGAAAAAGTAGCCATAAACAACAACTACTACGTCTCAGTCCAAACAAGTTGGTTCTACTATATGAATCTTCACACTTCACTGACCACGTTACTCCATTAAAATAATCTCATGCCAATATTATGCGAATACAAATAAAAACTATTAGAAGTTATGTATTTTCTAAACGTTCAAATCTCTGAAAGTTTAAATCACTCCTAGAAAGCATAAGACCTACAGTAAAAGTGCTAACGTCTAAAACATAATCTCAACTAATATGTAATGCTATCGCTTATATAGATCTTTTTCTTCTACTGTGTCTAGCTTTTGCTAAGTCTTCACAGATTCCCAGAAAGTAACCATAAAAGCAAAAAATTAAATGCTGCAGTGGAAACAAAATCTTAAACATTAGGGTCTGTTGGTATGATCAATGATGGAAATCATTTTCCATGGAAAATGTCTTTCTTGAAATGTTTTCCATGGAAAATATTTTCCTGAAAGGGAAAAGAATTTTCTCGTGTTTGGTTGGTGAATGGAAAATATTTTCCAGCAAAAAGTATTTAATATTAATATTAGCAAGTCAAAGAGTGCTTTTATGAAACTTCTGAGTATTGGAGATTAATATGTGTTAATCGAAACAAGCAATATGAAGTTAAAAGTTAAGAGTTGTTAGGACAATGACTTGTGCCCATACATAAACTAAATCATTTCCTCCAATTGATGGAAAATGTTTTACATGAAAAATAACATCTGACATACCAAACACGAGAAAATCACTTATTATGGAAATTATTCTCCTAAAAAATGACTTTTGGCATATCAAACACACGCATGCAACTTCATAGAAGACACAGAAGAAAGAATAAGTTATTTAATGAGTCTACTGAACATTGGACTACCTCTCTTACTAGAACACAGATCCTGGCCATTTGAGCTCAAATCCATATCAAGGATCTGGACAGTGAGGAAAATACAATTCATATACCAGAATAATCACTCTCAATAGGAAAGTCTTTGCAATTGGATGGTATACTGTTTGCACTTGATTCTGGTGCAATTGCTTTCTTAAGGACATTTTCATCACCTATCAGTTCATTCTTTTGAAGCCATTGACAGAGGACACCGGACGATAAGTCTTAACACATGTATGATGTTCCATCAATGGAGAAGATATTGACGGCATTCTAACAGGAAGAAAAACATCATCATTGGTAGGAACCTCTCCGACCTCAGTGTTTAACGTACAACAGATAACTCCATCACGCATTTCAGGAAAAGCAGGATTGACAGACAATGCAGAAGATATCATTTGAACCTCTGAACTGCAAACAAGAGGCTTATCACCATAATGATTCACAGGCTTGTCACTTAACTCTCCGGGACGAGCACCGTCAGGGACGGGAAGCTGCTGATCTGGAGCTTTTGAAATTTCAGATACACCATTATCAGTGTCATCAGGAGTATCCAACAAGAATGAGCTGAAATCATCAAAATAAGACTCATCAATCATCTCATTTCCATCAGGGCCCACGAAAAGCGGCTCTTCATCATCTTCACAGTTGAACAAATAATTTGATAGCTCAACTAAGTAGTCATCAGTACTAAGGGACGAATTTCTCAAAATATCACATGAGATTTGGTCTTCCAAGTTGGATGATGAGTTGACAACAGTCACAATACTATATCCTGAAGTGTCCATTTTATTTTCCCCACCGTGAACTGGAACTACTAATGTATTTTCAGTGCTCAGTTCTTTCTCGGCATGTTCAAAACCAGGCAGAGTTGGGACAGAAGCACCTGCAATTGTACTCAAATCTGGCAGTTGAAATGATAAGGCACTGTCAGGAAATGCGGCGGTGAAGACCTGGCTTTCATATCCAGAAGAAATATTTAGCACATCATCATCAAACTGACCTGCCATAGCTAGCAGTGTAGCTTCTAAATCCTCTACTTCAAATAATTCACTAACTGGCAGTTCATTTGGTTGGCACAACCCCCCAACAGCGGCCATCGTTTCGCGATTCTCAGCAGGGGGAAGAGTTTCTTCAATTCCATTGGGGAAATCCTGAAACCTAAAGCTGCCAAGGGAAACATCTCCATTATGATTTTTCTCAATGGGTAAAGCTGAAGGAGCAGTTACATAGTCACTAGCATAAATGGAATGCCCAGCTCCATGTTCCAGAACGTTATTAGGTATGATATTAAAATTAGACTGTTGATTACCAAAATTATCTATCAGTGAATCTACAAACATGCAATCCACGGACTGAGGATCGTCATTATTTCCAGCTCCACCGAGATAATTGGCATCCACTGAGTCAAATGTGCCGTTACAGATTCTCTTTTGCATAGGGCAGTAACATGAGCGTATGCTCTCAGCTTTTCTCTTCTCAGGAACACACTTTTTACTTTCTTTTGCCTGCTCAAATCTAATAGAGTCAGATTTTGTTGTCGAAGCAGAATGCTCAAACTCCATCATGAGACATGATGCTTCAGCAGAAACAACTGGATCACATAGAAGAGCATGCCATCGATCTTGCAATTCTTGAACGGTAAATCTCCGGGAAAATTGAACTGCGCCTTTGGCAAGTGATTCCAAAGAAGCACCAGCCTGGGAAAAAAGGATGCAAAAACTCTATTATCATCCAAGAACAGAAAATAGATCATACAGCTGTTCCATATTTGCTTTTCACAACTTAGTTAAAGGATTATTAGGCCTATCAAACTAAACCCCAGCGCCTTTCAACAAAAAGTAAGAACATATGATCTAGTTCGGGCTAACACTAGTATTAATTGTGACAGATACTTAAGTATAAGCATCTCCAACATGCCAGTTGAACAAATTATCACCTTACTAAAGTTTTAACCTTAAAGTTTCTCAAATGCTTCTACTATGGATTTCATTTCGGTGAAGAAATAACGATCTACTCTATGTTTTAGTTTACACAAAATTCAGAAGCTATTACAAGTTAGCATGTCCTTCTTCATTCCCCATTCATAAACTTAAATGATCTACTGACTTACATGTAATTCCTCCATAAACTGGTCAGTCAAAACACTGTTCTAAATTCCACAATAAATTTAATATTGAAATTTTTATTTTAAAAACTTTCTTATAATCTTACAATAAATACTACAAATATTGTTAGAAACAAACAAGACATAATATAAGTAAGAAATGATTAACTATACAATTAAATAATAGTTATAAAAAGAATTTCGTTTGAATAATCTAATACATTTAGTAGCAATACGCGTATTCTTAATTTACATTGAACTCGTAAATAGCAACCACACTGTTCATTATTCTAGAACTTAACACAAACCGTATTTCTATTATACATTTAACCAACTTATATAAAGAAAAAGCCCATGCAAAGTTATCTCTTTCTTAATGAATCCAGTTTCTTCTTCATTTATCCAAAAAAGCATAGAAGAAAAGCACAAAAAAGTACATAATTGAAAAGAAAAAAAATGAAGTGCAAAACATTTGATACAGTTAAAAATCACAAAAATTAAATTTTGATTGAAACAAAAAGCAAATTCATGTAAAGAAAATGTGCACAGTTTAAAGAAACAACACAGAAAAGTATACATTCAGAAAAAGTAAACAATAAAACAAGTAGAGGAAAAAAACAGGAAAAACGAAATCAAAAGGAAAATAAGTATTTTTTTGGTTCTACCTTAACGGCGTTAATAAGCAAACGGTCTTCTTCAGGAATCCAAGTAGAAAAAGGAGGAGGAGCTCCCATTGTTGCGCGAATTTGAGAACTCAAAAATCAAAAGGTGGCGCCGCTTTCTAATTTGCTCTTTTTATGGCACTATTTTTTTGCTTTTCTTTTTCTGTCTCTTCAGAACATTTGAGAGTGAGACAGGGGAATTATTATTATTATATTCAAGAATAAAAATAACCTTAACAAGAATGAGTATTTATACTAGTTGGAGATTTTCTTAATGGGGCCACATACTATACCCACTTAAAATTTTTACTTAATTTATTTTTGTTGCCAAATCAGATTTATCTACTTGGGATTTTTTGAATCTGATTACAAGCCATAGGAATAGAAGGAAAATTAAAAATAAAAATAAAAAAAGGATCTTCAACAAAGTATAAACTTATTTCCACATATGTTCAAGTAATTTCACATTTTTTCTCATAATCATGCACAATTTTTATTCTTATTTAGGTTCTCTTTAAATCTTAAATTAAAATTATCGAGGATATAAATAGTAGAGTTTATAATAGTTACTACTAATGTAATTGTATGGGTCAAAATCTGACCCCACTATAATTAACGAAGTTAATTATGTCGCAAGCTAATACGCAAATGCAAGTAGTATGACCACTTGTAATCAGTGAGAATTCATGGTTAGAGAATTTTATCAGGGAGGCTACGGCCCGGCTGTCGCCACAAGAGGCAGAACTCCGATGTGGTCACGGCCACTTATTGACAGCTCACCAAAGCTCACAGCTATAAATACTAAGAGAAGGAACCCAAAAAGGGGGCTTCTTCTTTGCCACTACTCTGAAGAGAGAGAAAACACACAATAATACCCATGTGAAGGGAAAAGTAACACCATTGTAAGGCTCTGAACCACTCCATGGAGAGGCAGACCAAATCTATACTATCAATAAAGGCTCTCAATACTTTCCCTCTTGACTCTGAGTATTTATTTTTATGTTCTTCGCTTGATCTAGTGGATTATTATGACTTGCTATGATTTTCCCGTGATTTATTTATATTGTTTTGCCCTCATAAAGTATGTGATAAAGTGTGAGCAAACAATTTGGCGCCGTCTGTGTGGATTTCGTAGCATGGTTGCATAGTTCTTCCCTGGACCAAAAGGAAGAAGACGCCGGAAAAAGGAAGAAATAGCCCGCCCCAAGCAAGCCAATGCGGCATATCGACCAAAAGGAACTCGAAGACCTCAAATCGAGATCCAAATCCTCTGTCTTTCTGATCTCGAGTAGTGGCAAGAAGAAGAAGAAGAAGAAGAAGCCCCCGCAGAGATCTCTATAAGACATCTCCTGCATCCCTGACACGGGTTCCAGCCGGAAACCGGCACAGAGATATCTCGAACCGAGAGTCGCCTCAAGACAGCCTACATACCCCGATTGGGGAGACAACGCATGAGCCGTTCGAGATCTCGAATCAAAACCAAGCTCTAACACTCGACACCCACGAGCTAAGATTCGGGCTATGCGCCCTCGCCAATAAGTTCAACTACGGTTGAACCAAGACTCAGGCTATGTGCCTTCGCCATCAAGAATTACAAGTTCAACTACAAGTTGAACTGGGACTCAGGCTATGCGCCCTCGCCAATAAGTTCAACTACGGTTGAACCAAGACTCAGGCTATGTACCTTCGCCATCAAAAACTACAAGTTCAACTACAAGTTGAACTGGGACTCGGGCTATGCGCCCTCGCCAATAAGTTCAACTACGGTTGAACCAAGACTCAGGCTATGTGCCTTCGCCATCAAAAACTACAAGTTCAACTACAAGTTGAACTGGGACTCGGGCTATGCGCCCTCGCCAATAAGTTCAACTACGGCTGAACCAAGACTTAGGCTATGTGCCTCCGCCATCGAAAACTACAAGTTCAACTACAAGTTGAACTGGGACTCGGGCTATGCGCCCTCGCCAATAAGTTCAACTACGGCTGAACCAAGACTCAGGCTATGTGCCTTCGCCATCAAAAATTACAAGTTCAACAACAGTTGAACTGGGACTCAGGCTATACGCCTTCGCCAATAAGTTCAACTACGGTTGAACCAATACTAAAGCTAGACTCCTTCGTCCTCAAATCCAACAAGTTCAACCACAGTTGAACCAGGACTCAGACCAAACGCCTCCATCATCGAACTCGGTAATGACCGACCTCCAACGAATGGAGGCGCAGGTTAGCGACCCTCGCCATTCAAGTAAGTACTCCCAACTCGAACTAAGATTTGGGCCACATAAAATTCGGCCCCGATTGAACTACAAGGCCGCGCCTTTTACCATCACGACCAGTAGTTTGACCGCGCCCGAACTGGGACTAAGGCTAAGTGCCACTATCGCCAAATAACGGCTACGACTCACTCACATCGAGTCAAAGAAACAAGACCGTTAACAATCGGGGATTAACATGCCTACCCGAGAAACTTTAAGGCAAAGCCCCCGTTTAGCATTGTCCTTCTTCATTCCCCATTCATAAAACTTACAAATGATCTACTGATTACATGTGTAATTCCTCCAATACATTGTCAGTCAAAACACTGTTCTAATTCCAATAATAATTTAATATTGAAATTTTTATTTTAAAAACTTTCTTATAACTCTTACAATAAAAATACTACAAATATTGTTAGAAACAAAACAAGACATAATATTAAGTAAGCAAATGATTCACTATATACAATTAAATAATGGTTATAAAAAGAAATTTCGTTTGAATAAATCTGATACATTTAGTAAGCAATCGCGGTATTCTTAATTTACAATTGAATCTAGTAAATTAGCAACCACACTGTTCATTATTCTAGAACTCTAACACAACCTTATTTTCATATATATACATTTAACCAACTATATATTAAAGAAAAAAGCCCATGCAAAAGTTATCTCCTTTTCTAATGATCCAGTTTTTCTTCTTTCATTTTATCCAAAAAAGCATAGAAGAAAAGCACAAAAAAGTACATAATTTGAAAAGAAAAAAATGAAAGTGCAAACAATTTGATACAGTTAAAAAATCACAAAAATATGAAATTTTGATTGAAACAAAAAGCAAATTCATGAATAAAGGAAATTGTGCACAGTTAAAGAAAACAACACAGCAAAGTATTACCATTCAGAAAAGTAAACAATAAAACAGTAGAGGAAAAACAACAGGAACAACGGAAATCAAAAGGAAAATAAGTATTTTTTGGTTTCTACCCCTTAACGGCGTTTACTAAGCAAACGTCTTCTTCAGGAATCCAAGTAGAAAAAGGAGGAGGAAGCTCCATTGTAATGCGCGGAATATTGAGGAACTCAAAATCAAAAGGTGGCGGCCGACTTATCTAATTTGCTCTTTTTATGCACTATTTTTTTGCTTTTCTTTTTCTGTCTTCTTGCAGAACATTTGAGAGTGAGACGTGGAATCATTATTATCTATATTCAGAATAAAAATTAACCTTAACAAGGAATGAGTATTTTACTAGTTGGAGATTTTCTTAATGGGGCCAACATACACTATACCCACTTAAAATTTTTATCTTAATTTATTTTGTTGCCAAATCAGATTTTATCTACTTGGATTATTTAATCTGATTACAAAGCCATAGGAATAGAAGGAAAATTAAAAATTAAAAATAAAAAAAAGGATCTTCAACAAAGTATAAACTTATTTCCACATATGTTTCAAAGTAATTTCACATTTTTTTCTCATAATCATGCACCAATCTTATTCTTTATTTAGGTTTCCTTTAAAATCTTAAATTAAAATTATCGAGGATAAAATTAGTAGAGTCTTATAACTAAGTTACTACTAATGTGAATTGTTTTTGGGTCAAAATCTGACCCCCACTATAATTAACGAAGTTAATTATGTTCGCAAGCTAATACGCAAATGCACTTAGTATGACCATATGAATCAGTGAGACAATTCATGGTTAGCAAGAATTTTTCAGGGAGGCTACGGGCCGGTAGTTCGCCACAAGAGGCAGAAACTCGATGCTCTGGTCACGGCACTTTCATTTGACAGCCTCCACAAAGCTCCAGCCTATTAAATACTTAAGAGAAGGAACCCAAAAGGGGAGGCTTCTTCTTTGCCACTACTCTGAAGAGAGAGAAAACCAACACCAATAATACCCATAGTGAAGGCGAAAAGTACACCATTTGTATGCTTGAACCACTCCATGGGAGAGGCCAGACCAAATCTCATACTATCAATAAAGGCTCTCAATACTTTCCTCTTGACTCTGAGTATTATTTTATTGTTCTTCGCTTGATCTAGTGGATTATTATGGACTTGCTATGATTTTCCCGTGCATTTATTTTATATTTGTTTGCCCTCATAAGTCATGTGATCAAAGTGTGAGAAAAATCTTTGGCGCCGTCTGTGTGGATTTCCGTAAGCATGGTTCATAGTTTTCCCTGGACCAAAGAAGAAGACGCCTGAAAAAGGAAGAAATAGCCGCCCAAGCAAGCCGAATGCGACATATCGACCAAAAGGAACTCCGAAGACCTCAAAATCGAGATCCAAAATCCTCTGTCTTTACTGATTTCGCCAGAGTAGTGGCAGAAGAAGAAGAAGAAGAAGGAAGCCCCCGCAGAGATTCTCTATAAAGACATCTCCTGCACATCCCTGACACGGGTCCAGCCGGAAACCGGGCAAAGAGATATTCTCGAACCGAGGTCGCCTCAAGACAGCCTACATACCCGATTGGGAGAAACGCTGAGCCGTTCGGAGATCTCAATCCAAAACCAAGCTCTAAATCACTCGCACCACGAGCTAAGATTCGGGCTATGCGCCCTCGCCAATAAGTTCAACTACGGTTGAACCAAGACTCAGGCTATGTGCCTTCGCCATATCCAAAAATTACAAGTTCAACTACAGTTGAATCTGGGACTCAGGCTATGCGCCTCGCCAATAAGTTCAACTACGGTTGAACCAAGATTCAGGCTATGTACCTTCGCCATTCAAAAACTACAAGTTCAACTACAAGTTGAAACTGGGACTCGGGGCTATGCGCCCTTGCCAATAAGTTCAACTTACGGTTGAACCAAAACTCAGGCTATGTGCCTTCGCCATCAAAAACTACAAGTTCAACTACAAGTTGAACTGGGACTCGGGCTATGCGCCCTCGCCAATAAGTTCAACTACGGTTGAACCA